CACTGAAAAGTCACTGAAAGCCGAATTTCAGTTTTAATTGAAAGGTTCAATTTCTTCCTGTATATTCTATTATTAAAGACGATGAAGACAAGCATAACTTCTTATAATTATTTATTTTAGAGTTGGCGTTTGTGGCCACGACCTACATAATACAATATATACTTTATTTAATCGTATATAACATTAATCCTTATAAACTTTATAATCCTTATCCTTATAAACCTTATAATCCTTATCCTTATAAACCTTATAATCCTTATCCTTATAAACCTTATATATCCTTATCCTTATAAACCTTATAATCCTTATCCTTATAAATTCCTTAAAATGTGAATAGTGACAACATTCATACTGGTACTGGGTGAGCAGATACTCAGCAGAAGTTGTGAAAAAATACTTGTATCATAGAAGGCGTCTCGAATAACCGCAGTGACTCTCCCTCAAGTTTCTTTATGTGTAGGTCGTGACGAATGGAGCTTCTATCACTCAAGTCTAAACCAATGTCTCTCACATTTCACATTACACAGATCATTGTTGCCTGAAAATATTTAGGAAAACTACGGCAGAAAATTGCATTGGCAAGATAGATTAATTTGATAACTACATTACTTAATATTATAATGAAGGGGATTGGGAGGGTGGGATTTTTAAGCTACGAGACAAACAACACCCACCTCTCAATCCAACTGTAACAAATATTGTGACGTCAAACATAAACGGTGATAACGTCATCTACAGCAGGGCATTACGCGCACAAATCTAAGGCGCGGATCTCATGCACAACAGTAACCATCGCTGTAATAATTGGATTTATTTCGTAAAGGAAATAAATCTTATTATTACAACTCGTGTCCATATATTGTTGCCCCACGTTCCTCTGGGTCATGAGCTGAAAAAATGTGAATCTGCACCTGAAGGCGTTTGCAATTTTATATGAATAACTTGTCCAGTACTTCTTCAGAAAATTATTTTACAATATTTATCATTCTTATTCCTGTACAAGTGACCCCCCCCCTTTGACACCCCCCCCCCTCTTCATGCGTTCCTGATTCAAATTTCTTGATCTGAACATCCTGTGGATACTTGCATATTACATGTATAATGACCAATCATAACCCTGCTGTTCTTGAAAAAAATATTCTTAAATGTTTTTCTCTTGTCAATTCCTTGTTAAATGTTTATGCCATACTGTAGCCCTAACCTACCTACAGGTCCATAATCCGTACAAACCTGCATTATCCTTAATGCTAGCAAATCAATGCATCTACTCATGACCCCGTCGTTCTTTAGAAAAAAATCTTAAAATATTTTCCAACATATCATTGTGAATAAACTTTGAACCCCTAATGTGGCCCCACTCTACCTAGGGGGCAAAGAATTCAAGAAATTTGAATGCTGACTGTATAAAATAAATTCACATAAGTATCGTCTTTTCTGGTCCAGTGGTTTTTGCAAAGATTTCTAAACGAAGCCACCAAACATTAAATTTTTCTTTTATAGTTATCATCCCCTTAAAAAAGATCATGCACTTTCAAGTGAACAAAACTAAATATGAAATCATTTTATGCAAGGATGCTTTGTGGCAAGCTTGGTTGAAAATGATCAATTGGTTCTTGAAAAAATTTGAAAAATTGAAGTTTATAGACAACTCACAACATAAAAAAAGATGCACGACAGACGGACATATATGTACGGACGCCGGACACTTTTCGTTTAGAAAACCTCACTTCAGCTTGTCTCAGATGAGCTAACAACAATTTCTCCTGTATCTTTTCGTGCTCATACTATGATATTGATATAGTAAAGCATAGAATGGAGAAAAAACATTTTTGAAAAAAAAAATGCAATAATGATATTCATGATCAATCAACAATACCACGTTGGAGCAGAAATTCCCTAGGGTAGTAGGTCAAAGGATACAATCATGTAAGTTAAAAATTGTATTTCTCTATCCATTATTTTTTCTGCACGAAAGATGCAGTAATTACAGAAGTTAAAGTCCAATTTGACATTTTTTAAACTTTCGTGTACCATAGATGTCTATGATTGTAAAATAAATCATACTTTGGAAAGACAAACAACATATTTAATGCATATTAATGATATAACAATATTGTGGAATTTTTTTTATTTGTATTTCTTTCTCATAAACATCATTTATGAGATCGATCACTGTTCGTTATCTTATTTTTTTCCAAAACAATCAGTACAAATTAGAGAAAATCATATGCAGAAAATAAATAACGAAAATTTGATCATTAATCACATAACTGCATGGACATATATATTTGTTGAATTCAATCTTATTCTGGTTGCGAAACGCATTTACGTAGGTGCTTGCAAAAAAGTATTCATTGCGAAGAAGGATCACCTTCTGGTGCCAGTAATTACATGTAATGAGAAAAAAGACATGCATAATAAGAATTTTTTTTTAATTACAAATATTTATTCAACAGTATATATATATATAGTGTGACTAAATAAAATAAAGAAATCAAATATTTATTTACATATACTGCATTTAAATATTACACAGAACTTATCAAATCCATACTCAAAAAAAGAAGGGAAAAAACGGATAGAATAATGATATAATCATGAATGGATATTGAGAGTATTTTTTTGAAGATACGTTCATAGATCAAGATAAAAAAAAAACATAGTTTACTAATCAAGCTATATGCAAATAAATTTAAAAATATGCACCAAAAATTACTAACAGGAAAACTCGAGTTACTTTTCCTTGTTCTTTTTTTTTCTATTCATTTAAGTTTTACTTTTTTTTCGTCTCCAATTTGAAAATCTTCACAGGTTAGGACAAACTCAAAGAATTTTCATGGTAATAGAATTGATTCATTCCAATGTAAGAAAATTAAACAATAATGTTATTAATTGACTTTAACTAAATCCCTGAAAAGACTCGGACGAACATTGGCTTTCATTCATATCAATTCTTTCGACAAGTAATATATTTTCCCCCTGGTAAGAATCTTTTTTTCGCTTGAATCTTAATGTGAGCATTTTTTCGTTTGAAGTAAAATTCTCCGATGATAAGGAAATTTCATTTATCATTTTATGCATTTTGTTGTGTATTATTAATTAAAAGCAAATTTAAGGTACAAAAACTGCTACCTGGATAGCTAGTTTTCAGCAGAAAATTTGCAGAAAATAAATAACGAAAACAGATAAGTCCACTTTTTGCCTTCATTGGCTTTTTTTACCAATATAAAGAAGTGTTAATTACGTACACGAATTATTAGCAAAAACCAAACGCGTTTGGCTATTATCGATGAGGTATTCTTAATACCAAAGAAAATGTATCATAGACATTGATACCCGGGATACGAAATATTACAAAAAATCAGCTTATAATATTGGCCACTTTTAAAGAAATTTTCAGGATATGGGATCAGGACGTCATAGTATATTGACCAGGAAGAAAAGTACGTCATTGCAATAGATATAGAGTCACCAATGGTCCAACCTTGTTCTTTGGTTTTTTTTTTTCCATAACATTTTTTATATCATAATTACATGCACATATTTTTTTCAATCAATCGTAATCGAGTTGCCCAAAGGAATGTCCTTTCAAAAATATTTTAAGTCCCGAAAAGCCGCACTTAAAAAAAAAGAAAAAAAAAACTTTGGTATTGTATAGGGAAATCATTGTTTTTTGATTTATCATTCATTAGTAGGTGACAAAGACGTGCATAGTATTATTACACAATAAAAGATAATATTTGTTATACACTAACTTATTTAAAAGCGCATGCCTTTGAGCAAAAATAAGTTATGAAAGCAAAATATTTATATGCATAGAATAATACATGTACATGTATAAACATGTCCAAGTAAATATTTCATGAAACTGATTAAAGGGACATTATCTGTGACAGTGATGGCAAACTTTTTGCTAAAATTTTTCAATATTATAAGAATATAAATCAATGGCCGATTAAACAAATAGTTCGTACATGAACAAGAGGAACCTAATAAAACTACTTAAATAACCGCTTTTAGTGTAAAGAAATATACAAGGAACAATTATTGGCTTGCAAACCATAACAATAACAAAAATGCATATTTGTGCACCTGCCTTGAGGGTAACAAGTGTTTGAAATAATAAAATATTGTTGTTATGAATAATCTCGTTCAAAGTCAACATTTCGCTAATTCTATGTCGATACAATGACCATGTCAGCAAATACAACCTATCATTAAGTGGAATGCTAATTGAGGTTTTTCCTAAAAATTGCTAGGCCATTTTCACACTGAATTGTCCACGGATTATTCCGTTTTCCCGATCATGACAAGGAGCACATGGCGGGTGTGACCGGTCGACAGGGGATGCTTACTCCTCCAAGCTTAAGACATCTGATCGCACTTCTGATGTTTTTAGAAGTCTGTTTGCTCTGCTCCAAATTTGTACTCTTTCAGTGTAACTTTGAGCTTAATTACTATTCGTTGTCTTCATATTTCACGGAGCGATTTTCAATCAATTCAACTCTGGTGACAAAAAGACAGCCAATGTTACTTTAAATTCTGCCTATTGAACTTCCGTGGAAGTTTTGTTTTTGTTTAAGATCAAATTGTACAGTGTTCCATCCATCGATAAATGATTTAGGTCATTGTACGGGTTGGAATGTCTTACAGTTTTTAACAGGTAATATTTGTCTGAGAAATGGTTACCGTGTCCAAGTAAAGGTGTACTATTATTGTCCATCTTTTCAGGATTTGTGGAGTTTGTGGCATTTGAAGGGGTTAAATAACCGGTTTTATCCAATTCAACAATTTCGTGGTATACTTCCTATTCGTCTTCGTAATTTCGAATTGTATCCGTTATGTAATTATAGTGTGAACGACTGTGATCTGCATCTTCTACCGGGAGTTTCTGACTTTGTGGTGCAAATGATTGTTTTTGAGATATCCTTTTAATGGTTCTCCGACGGTAACAAATACGTGCAATGACGAGCACGCAAAATATACGCAACAGTGATCCCCCAGTAGAGGTTAGTATGTTCATTGTACCAATTCCATCTTTTTTATCAAAAAAAAGAAAAAAAAATAGATTATGATTATTATTCTATAACTGAAATTAAAGACTTTACAAACAATAAAAAAGATTCGAATTGATAAAACTAATAAAGTTTAACAGAACAATGAATCTTAAATGAACAGTCGAATACCTGAAGGGCATTGACCTAATGTACATGACTGGGTTTCTTGTTCCATTGCTGATCCATTACACATTTCTTTTTCATTCTCAATTTTGGACGTAATGCATGTTCTTATTTTCACGCGTCGCTGTGTTCCCCCACCGCATGTTACATGTACGCTACACTGGCTCCAATCCTGAAACTCTTGAAGGGACGTCCAAGTACCATACACTAAAATGGTGAAAAAGTTAGCTGTGGATGATGTTTACATATTTTTATTTTTTTAACTATGCTTTTATTTTTATGTTGTGCATAAATGTGATATTCGAAAATAAGAATTTATTAGAATTTACAATTTACAATGTTTTGAAACAAAACTTGTGTCCTAAATAGGAACATCAAAGTGAAGAAGACGGATTGTCCTATTGGTGACGCACAATTAAGCTAGGAAAAGTAAGGTATAAAGTGAAATTAAAACTAAAATTTCTAGAAAAAAACATTAAAAAAAACCAATGCTAAGAAATTGTCAAATTTAAATGGCCTGCAAAGAAATGAATCATTCAACAAAATGTACGACTGGACAACGTTAACCTATGGTTCTATTAGTGTACGATCAAGGATTCCTACCTGGGCATCCCTGCTTGTTACACTGTTGTATCTCTCTATCAATAGATGGTCCCTCACAAAATTTCCCTTTCTCTGACGGGGGTGGATCAGTGCAAGTTCTGTACCGAATCCTGCTTTTATGTCCACCCCCACAAGTTTGATTACACCTGCTCCATTCTCCAAAAGGCCCAAAAGGACTCCAAAAGCCATCAACTGGTTATGGAATTTCTCATAACTTAGATTTAAAATTTATCTTGAATTGATCTAAAATAGATTTCTTTTATGCTTCACTTCAAGGATTGCTTTCATGTAATATTTTGTTGTAAGCATTAAGACTGTAAGAGTTTCCAAATACGCAAAGAAGGATTTTACGCATTTGATTCCACTAATTTACTTACCCGTACAATTTTCTCTTAAACAGGAACTAAATTTAAAAGAAATTAATCTATCATTATGCTTACGAAAAATGCACTAAATATTACAGCATAGTACTCATTTGTTGTCAACTTTTTTTTTAAATATTAAATAAACATTTTAAACTTACGTGTTGGTTGCTTCTAATTCACAATCAAAGACAAGGATCAATTTCGATAGTATTGGTCTTTTCTCAAAAAAGATAGATACTTTCATCCTTAAACAGCCTGGAAAAATTATATTAATCACATGTCATGGTAAGGAAAATACGTAAACCAGTATCATATATGCAATTCTCTTGAGAAGCCATTTCGTTCAGGTGTTTCATTATGAGAATAAAAATTGCTTAAAGAGCTATGAGTCAAAGATTACGTTATTTACCTGACAAACAACACATACTGATTGTTTTAGATGGAGTTGCATTTCATAAATAGCACATACCTTTTTGGTTTATAATTGATGGTAATTTTTCCATCTGTGGCATGCTGCAATGTACAGTGTCATTACCAAACCTCTTGAAACCTGTTATGATCTCTGCTCCATACCCGCTATATCGACATGTGTAATTTCCTTTAAGCTTAGAAAGGTTGTCAATACCAAGAACTATCTAAATATAAATTTTACTGTATACAAATAAAGTAAAGATATTATATATATATATATATATATATATATATATATATATATATATATATATATATATATATATATATATATATATATATATATATATATATATATATATATATATATATATATATATATATATATATAAATTCTTAATTTGATTGCAGAGATAATAAGTAAATACGAAAAGGAGAGAATATTCCATTTTATGTGGTTTGAAATTCTTCTTCCAGAATGAGAGAGAATGAGAGGATTTTTTAAAAGCCTGTTTTAAAACTGTGAGGCAAATTCCATATCTAATTTAAAAAGGTTAAATTTTATGTTCATTACAATTTGTTTTATTTTTGTGATCGACTTCCGCTGAATACAGTTGATTCCATCTGGCAAATGTAACAATTTACACGCATGACGCGACAGACTACATGGACTTGTTTACTATGCACAAACAGCTTAATGTAATTTTATTATTACATGTTAAGTACTAACGACCTCTTTTACTGCATTTCTTTGAGTTGCAAACATTTGTACAGTTACATGGTGAATAACTTTTTTTTCTGTATGAGAAAGATATTCATTCACTTCCGAAACTGAAGTATACCCTTTCCTTTACATTTTTCTTATCTTCAACTTGAAAATAACACTTTTGTTATTTTCAAAGTGAAAATGACACGTCTTTAATGTTTATTTTAATCAATGGATAAATTATTATTTCAGTATTTCAGTGTTGAATTATGACTATATCTATTCTATATTATCAATTATATAACTATATTTATTTACAACCACAAAACAAACTTTTGCCCCAGAATCCTAAAAAAGAGGAATGGAAATAAGGGGATAATTTTTCAATTTATATACAAAAAACTAAATTCTAAAAACATTGTTGATACAAATCTTTGATCAATTCAGAAATTGTAAGTCTTAAGAAATTATCAATTTCAGATACCATATGTGGTATGTATCACAAAACTGTATATATTTAAATTCTATAATTATATTTAAAGCAGATTTAAACAATATACCGTGTACAAACCCTCTTTTTTCAAATGTGTTAATATACATTCATGTTAAACTTTACGTATATAAAAAATGGGTTCTTATATATTAGTGGTTTGAACCATGACGAAGGCTTTAAAATCATTATTTATTCAACATTTTGACATTATATCTGATAGCTGCATCGTTCCTTCCACTTTTTGACATTATATTTGATAACTCTGCTTGACTTTCTTTTTTATTATTCAAAAATATCGCATTTTTTCAACATTAAAAAAAAAAAAATCAATACAGTACTGACCTTTATTATTCATAGAGAAACTGTATTCATAGGTAAATATTCTACTGATCTAATTTTCTTGTTAAGATCACTTACAATTGCTGAGTTGTTGTAATGAGTTTTTGTCGTATTTGCTATTCTCGGACATTGTGAGGTTAATGATATAATTTCTGAACTGTATTCAAATGTATCACACCTGTAAGCCAATGTATATTTAATCCATTTAGTTAATATATATTGTGTTACAAAAATATATTAACAATTGTTCTTCCTTTTAGAATTATACTGCCTTTTTGTATACATGTATTAAAAATATACTCTTTGCCTTTAAATTAATTAAAAGGCCAAAATCTTTTAAAGGACCCAAAGGGCGTACATGTAGCTAGGGAGTTTAGCTTTATGAGTAGCTTTATGTATAAATAAATAAAGGCAGGAGGTTTGGGGCCGCCTTGAGCACCCCCCCCCCCTCCCCAATGAATGCAGTACAAAATATGATGTGGGTCAGACCTGGGGTAATGGTAATGTGTAATGATAATGCATTGAAATTATTACATTTTTTTTCAAAGTAATGGGATGTAATGTGTAATGGATCCATCTTTCAATTACAAGTAATTGTAATGTAATACATTACTTTCAAAAAATGTCAGTAATGACCATTACTTTTCAATTTCATTTCAATTACATTTTGTATTTCAATCTCTTTTTATCATTGAATCTGAAACAAGTCAAGGTCACTGAGAGGTTATTTTCTTATTTGTAATGTTACAGTCTTAGAATTAAAATCTTATGTCTTCCCATTTTTTAAAAAAAAAAATGTTTATTCAATGGTGATTGATAGACATATTAAATAATTGTTTTAATAGAAAACTTCTTGATAAGATAATTATTAAATCAATTGAAGAGAGCAGAAAAAATATCAAAAGAAATCATTAGGTTTCAAAAAAGCCACATGACAAGTAACAATACATGTATACTGTGACTACCAATTAAGATACAAACTATATTTTTCAACTTAATTTTCTTTTCTTTTCACAAAGATCATCTTGGTTAAATGGACTTGGTAAGCAAGATACAAGATCAGTCTGATCTACTTGAAGACACAAATGGAAACTAAGGCCAAATGTCAATATTGATATTGTGCATCATTCATTTCTGATAGATTGAGAGTCACATCTAACTTCTAACTCTATATTTAGGTACCTGTAATTATCACCTCTGATTGATTGATTGATTGATTGTTGTTTTACGTCTCTCTCGAGAATTTTTCACTCATATGGAGACGCCACCACTTGCCGGTGGAGGGCTACAAATTTTGACCTATACACGGCACTTAGGGCCATTGAGCAGTGAGGGATCTTTTTTGTGCCAGCACCTACTGCGACACGGGACCTCGGTTTATACGGTCTCATCCGAAGGACCGGTCTCCACGTCCCGCAGTGGGATTCGAACCCGCGACGTAAGGATCAACTCCTTACTACGCGACTCTAGAGCAGACGCTCTAACCACTGCGCCACGCGAGCCAAATATCACCTCTGATCGTGTTAATTTTATATCTTGAATAATTATGCCTGCCTATCTAATTACAGGTGCTGATTCATTAAATTATTAATACATACTCATTTTACATTTATAGCATTTATTATCAGTTAATTAAATATGATCACTTTATATCAGATATATAGTATGAAATGTTTTATCATTTATTTAAAAAAAACATCAGATGAACTAACATCAGAGACTGAACAAAACTACAACATTGAAAGTGTTCCTATCCACTTTCTTTGTCAACTGTAGATTGGTAAATTACATGAATATGATAAATAAATCCAAAATACCAAATAACCACTCTGACCTACAGACCTGAGGGAAAGCATATTGAGTGAGCACAAAGTGTGAGAATGTTAATTTATAGATATATTGTGTGGACATAAAATTTGTGTTTTTTCATAAAATGTAATGTGTAATGTAATTCATTACTTTAACAAAGTAATTGTAATTTAATTAATTACTTTTCTGAATGAGTGTAATAGTAATGATTATTGTAATGGTTAAATATCCAACGTAACTGTAATTTAATGCATAATATTTCAAAGTAATTGACCACAGATCTGATGGGGGTCACAGATTCGAAGCCGCCGGAAGTTAGGGAAATTTCAACATTTCTGACAGCTAAATTTCAGTCTTCAGAAAAGTTGATTGATTATTTACTCTGAATTTAAACCTCCAGTATGATGATTTCTTCATAAAATTTTAATATATCTACTACAATGTAATAGGATCTTGGTCGTGAAATATCGAAAGCCTCTGTTTTTTAGCATTTCGGAACGCAAAATCAAAGAGAAATGCGAGTCTTTTTTAAATTCCGTTTTCTTCTTCTCGGTTTTTTTATTTTATTATTTTTTTTTTTTACAAAATTAAGAAGTACTTGCACACACCTAGCTCACACTGGTCCTGAAGGCACATTACATTAGACATTCTTTAATTGTGACACCAACATGCCAAAAAGAAAAAGGATCGATAAAAGATAAAATTCAACCATACCTTAGCTTTCCTATCAAGCAAGCATCAAAGAAGCATCTAATTTCATTTTGAATAAAAAGTAAAGGGTTATTTTGATCTTTACATAGGAAATTCGAGTGATTCATCCACATTCCTAGGTTCAAAAATATAACCTGTATTTTTGATACAGCATTTTTAAAATCATAAGTTTTTTGACTTTGAATCAAAGATTAAAGATATTAGTGGGCCATGATGCAAAGGGATATGGAGGCACACCCACCTGCAAATTAGACGAGTCTAAATAAGAATATATGAACAGAGTTATCAACCGAAACGAATACAAATGCATGAGAAAATAAAGATCATAAAAGAAGGATAGAGGGTAAAATGAAATTAAATTTTTTTAATCTTCGTTAAAATACAGCTCTAAAAACTTTTTAAACATGCTTATTTTATGCACATTTTGAAAATAAATATAATGTAAATCATGCTTATAGCGAACACGCTTATAACGAATTGACGCTTACAGGTAAGTAATTTTCATTCTTTGTGTTTTAAAAAATATATGATGAACCTAATGGATATAATGAATTACGCTTACAACGAATCAAAACCATTCATTCTCGGCACTTCATTATAAGCGTCTTACTGTGTTGCAACAGAACAAAGCCGCAAACAAGATAAGATGGATTTTACAAATTTATTTTAAGCTTTTATTGCGTGGACCCTGAGGTCCACGCAGAAAATATATTAGTGGGGTTAAACCGGATGCTATGGGCTTACGTCAGGCTACGCATGCGCGAGAATGCTAGAGAGTTTGCCTCTAAGACAACTTGCCCTTAGAACAATTCGCCCTTTTCGAATTGCCAATCACTGGCAAACCTCGCTCTAAAATCTGCACATCGTATTTATTTATTCTTTGGCGTAACCAAGATCTGAATTTCTCTTTAATACATATATCCTTATATACAAACTAAATTTTATGGTACAAGTAAATAAGTAGGGAAAACTTATATAAATAGCTTAACAGCTTGAGCATGTTGAATTAAAACTTAATTCAACTACTAGGTTTTAAAAGATTTACCGCCATTAGTTTTGTGCATCAAGGTTCGCAAAATAATTTGATTGACAGCAATCCAAATATAGCTTGACAGAGGCCTGTAGCAACGTTTTACCATGTGGGGGAGAGAGAGATCATCAAAAAAAATCTGCGTACTACAGATCTGTGCTACATGTGTACCATCTATCTTTCCAATGATAGGATATCTTCTGTATAAAGCTAGGGCAGATGTCAAGTCCCTTATATGTATCGAAATAGCCCGATTTTTTTAAATGACAAAACTGTAGGCCAATCGGGAATAAAATTTTACAACTTTGGTATGAAAGTACGATCACTAAAAGTAGGCAGTTCATTGTAGAAACTGTTAACGAAAGGTTGACCTGTGCCTTTCAGAGTAACCAATGAACTCGTCCATGGATGCATTGACGGTCGTTGTAACAAGAATAGATATGGTTACCCCATATCCAAGATATTCGACTTTTGATTTACTCCAATTTTTACTAGTTAAAAATTGCACATGTTATGAAACTGGTGTATAGTCCTTCATGTCCGTAGCAAATACCGTCACAAGTCTAAGCGTCACCAGCAAACAGTACACACACCTGTGCTTGTAAGACCAAATAGCCTAGGTCTACACACGTGTGACGCATCTTCTCAGACCTTCTGGCGAGCTCGGAAAAACACGTTGTTTTGCCGAGAAGTTACGATTGCAGGTGTTGTATATTAACCATTCCGTTATTTAAAAGAGACAGAGAAAAACACACACACACACACACAAAATTATTTTGTGTGTGTGTGTTTTTTTAAATTGATCGAGTTAATCGATAACCTAGCATCGTTTTAGATAACTAGAGACCCTCTAGTGCTCCAACACAGGGTCGGATTCAGCAGTTTTTGAAAAGGGGGGGTTACTAGGTCACACTGCAGGCACTTATATTCAGGTCCGTAGCAACGGTTTTCAAAGGGGCAACCTCCAAAATGAGTTGACAAGCAACAATTAATAAATAAATTAAAATAACAACCTGTGCACCACACTGTAAAATCCTATTTCGGGGGGAGGAGGCTTCGTCTAAACTTTTCGGTACATTTTGATTTCTTTTAAATGTTTGAATGTCCGTATTTTGAACCTTCCCGCAACAAAAAGTGCGGGGGAGCTTCCTATGCAAATGAAAACTTATATATTCAAATTATGACAAAAGATTTTTTTTAAGAAAAAGTGAGCCCCTCTCCCAACATACTACGGGGACATTTTGAACCTTTCTCTTTATTGATTAAAATATCCCCATTATATAAGAAGAAAATATTCACTTATGCATACTCCCTTTCATGACCTTTTATACATACTTCTTAAAGTTAGTTACTTCAGAAGATGGTCCAAAATAGCTATGTACGTTCGCCAGAATCTTCCGATGATATCGAAGTGAAATCTTTTATGGAACGTGTGGGTGGTCGAGGCTCTGGGCCGGGGTTGTGAAAGTACAAGGAGAAAAGCAATAAGCAAAACTCTATCTAGAGAGCAGAAATGGCAGAGATTGAAGTACTTGTTTTATTGAAAATACTAGATGTTAAAATATCTGTACTACAGAAAAAACACACACTCTCTATCTTCCTCTTTCTGCAAAAATAAATGGGGTTACAACATCCGAACCCCCCTTCCTATCCTGGATCGCCAACGGAGTTACAATTCAACCATTACGACACCTGTACGTTTTAATTCTTTTGTTAATAACTTTTAAAGGCTACTTTACCAGTGTTTACAATTGTGATAGATACCTAGATCAACATTTCACAATCTAAATAAAATTAGGTGTTCCGAATCCGCTACCGCTTCTTTTGAGAAGCGGTAGTGGATTCGGAACATCTAATTTTAATTAGATTGAACATTTCATAGTCACATAATTTCAAGGTCATGTTTTTTTTTATCATAACAGCCTAATTAAGTAAACTTAAATAGCGATGAAAATTACAAGATACATGTAAAAAAAAAAAAATAAATTTAATTACACCTTTGTAAAATCACTAAATCTAGAAATTTTCTTTGAATTTCGTGTAGAAACACATGCATATGGTCCACGTATTGCAGTCCTTTTTTTTAAAGGACAGCAACTTGTATTCATAATTGATGATTTATTTTGAAGTACTTTTTGATTCATTAAGGTATGTAAAGAACAAAGTTTTCACAAACCTTTTTTTAATTGGAATTTGGCAACGTTCTTGCTAGAATGCTTCCACTTTCTTTTAATTTATAATTAAGTTATTGGCATGTTGTCAGTAAGATCATGTCTTGTTTAATTGACCCCAAATGTTTTAACTTTAGTTTGAATCAGGTCTGTTTCAAGACATCGGACGTTTAGAAAACACATTTCATGTGAGAAACTCTCTTGTTCTTGTGCTTTTTGAGTTATGCTTCTAAATAATACATATGCAATACAAATCGTTTTCTGGGAAATAATAAATAAGTACACAAGATACAAAAACTTTTTGTATCTCCTGAGGAGCGTAAGTGATCTTTTCAATCGCAATGCTTTGTCTACATTACAACCGAAAAGCAGTCCCAAATCAAACTCAATCTTAGACATTTAAGGTGAAATTTATTGTGGAATAAGAAAACTTTGGTTAAAGCATGCCAATAGCTAAGAAAGGCGTATGAAGGACACTTCGTCGGAATTGGTACCTATTTTCACAAATGTTTTTTGAAGGGGGGGGGAGGGACCTAATACTGGAACAGATTCAGCCATGAATGTACAAACTATGACCAAATTGCAAAACCATCATATCATTTGCTGCATTACGCCTTTGTTTAGTAGCAATATATTTATTTAAAAAAAAAAACATTTTGGTCTTTTAATTAACTTAAAGGCAAGGAGTATATTTTTAATACATGTATACGAAAAGTACATATTTTAAAAAAAAAAATCATTACATGATTAGTTAAAATAAAAAAAAACATGCATAATTCAGTTCTGAAAATTCTGAACATTGAATCGTCAATAATATACTAATGGTTTCCTTACATGTTTGACTGTGAGCTCCATCCACAAAACGGGTCAACAACACACTCCTCACAGAAAGCTTTATGTTCACAAGTTTCCATGTCCATTTTGATAAGCTAAAAAGTACAATGTTTCTGTCAATATGATATTAATAAATGATTGGATGTAATAGCTCGCCAAGCATTGACTTTTCAAAGATAAAAATACTCAGGCTATTAGATATATTAGTCATTCATAAGGTCATTTAGACTCCAAGTAACTATTAGTAGTTATTTATAATATATAATTCATATTCAAACATTAATTTTCAATTAATGCTAGTATCACTTATTATCAAAGATTTACAACGATTTAAACAATAAAATTGGGTATGAATTTTATTTTGCTTTAGATAAAATTGTATCAACCTCAAATTAAATAATGTTAGTATACTTCTTCCCAAGGAATCATAATTCTCGGGAATCACAATTTCTTTTCAATTCCCGGATAGAAAATTGTGAGCATTTCTTAGACTGCCTTTGAAGTTTGTATGTCTTAAAGGCACTTTAAATACACCGTGCCAAATTTCCGCAGTAAAATTGTCCACGTACTTAAACGGAAAAAAAAACAGTTACTGTACTTAGACATCTAACATATTTGGATTCGATATTCGTTTACCTTTTTAGGAGTAAGCATATATAGAGTATCCTGATTGTCAATATCAAATATATATATTTCATGATAGGTATTCCAACATCTACAACTACTTCATCATATTCTTTTACAATCGAACTTGTTTGAATCTTAATCTGTAAAAGAAAATAATAAATCAACATTTTAACTACGTAAATGAGGAAGACATGGCAATGTATGTAAATTAGAAAATTAATAAGGATATGTTTTTCACCTTCTTTACTTTCCCTGAGCTAGTTCCGACAAATGCTACATTGTGACCAGTTGATGTGGTGGTTACCATGAGCGAAGAAGCAGTGATATCTAACGAGATAACTCCTGTAGATGAAACAGGTTCAGGGCCGTCTATAGGATTGTTAAAGTCGTACTCACCACAATAATCGTCTCCAATGTTTATTTTCTAGGGGTGAAGAATTTACATATAAGTACGACAATATTAAATGTCATGGAAAAGAGATGATTGTACTTTTTTTAGTTTTAGTTTTTTCTCTGTTTCCAAATTTCTATGAATAATATTACTTTGTGTAAATTGAAAATAAAATCTTACTGTTAACTGACAGTGATATGGGGTAAAAATATGATCCGGTCCAGTTTTCCCAATGCCTTGAAAACACTTCCTTGTATTACGAGTAAACACTTGTTTTATGTAATAATTAGGAAAGATGCACAGAACAGATTCTTCTACTTTTTTTGAATAATCATTAGGATTACCGTATCCAAACATACCAAACAAAACACCTTCACTTTCTGGTATCCCTATTTCCCTGGCTAAATTTCGACCTGGTTTACTTATATGCGCTGTCTGTAACAAATTATACGATTTACCTCTATATAGACAACTTAATGATGTTTCAGCATATGAATAGAATTTTTCGTCTGACTGACATACGCGTATCAATTTAGACACATATTCAACTGCAGTTACATGCCGCCTTTGAATTGTTGCAATATAACTGAAATTTTCCAATTCAAAGCCATATACGTATCGAATGGGAAATGAATCCATGTAAATTGAATCCACCATTGTGTATAATTTTGTTATTAAAGAAGCGTATGTGAAACCAAAGTTATCGGTGTTTCTACTGCTAAATGCAGGTACGAGACTTCTTATTCCTCTAAACCCTGTGTTTGTCCAAGACGCCCCAACATACATAGCTGTTGAGTTTTTGGGCCCTGGTGCAAGGAATACCACAGTAGTAGCGGTGCTATTATTAGCCACAACTGGCGCCCTTGGCATTTGATCGAAACCAGGAAGCAGTTCCAAGGTTGAGACATTTCTCTTTCTACAGCCGCCTTGAAATAACGTTGTACAAATGATGAGCACATCTTCCTCTGTTTGCCTTTGCTTGTTAATCAATAGAACTTTAATGTAGCTATTGTATATTGACTTAATACAGTCCTTTTTTTGAAGGCTTAAACAGTTAGGGTTATCTAGTTCTGGTCCAATTTTCCGAGAGATTTTAATGCTTAAGTTCCTAGCAAATACTATATGAATAAAGTTTGTTCCACCCACGATAACAGTGTTGGCATCATGTGCTACCATATGAGTAAAATCATAATGCACATTCGGATTTTGCAATATACCTATGATGGGCGATTTGTTAATGAGAGGTGTGAAAATATGTATTTGTACGGTCACTAATAAAACAACGATCAAAAACACCATTTCCGTTGTAAATTTCAAAAGAATTTCTCTGCTGAATAACTCCAAAGTAATCTAAAAAAATAATTACATACAAATTGAAACCATAACAATTTTATAATTCAAAATGAAGACAGTTAAAAGTATCATTGTTATAATATCACTAAAAGTTTGTATATTAGATTGAAAGAACTGATTTGTTACTTACAGTTTTCTTTATTTGGTAGCAACTTTATTTCTTACAGCAATGTTTCACTGTCCAAAAAAAACAATCTCATTTTGAAAAGATTTATCTATAAAACAAGCGCAAAATAACTAGGAAGCTATATAAGTGTATTAAATAAGGATAATCATGAAAGGCAAATGGTATTAACAAAGACTCATTAATATTGCCCATGAATAAAGAAAGAGGCATTGTTTTAAGGATAATAATGAACATAGAAAATTTACGTTAATGATCATATATTTATGTAATACACAGTGATAGTTCCTATCCATACGTAGTTCTGAACTGCAATGTTTATTTTTCTTTACATACAAAAGTATGTACATATATCTCTTTACAATAGCTTATGATATGATTTTGCTTTGATTGACTTTATTGTCATTCTTTATCGTTCTGTTCACTTATCATACATATTCCAAGTGTTCTCATCATATTCGTTTATTTCTATTCTTACAATAATTTTTCAAATACTTTTTGGACGGCTACACAAACAAGTGACTAGAAGACATAGCTACATACGAAATTAACTGACAATTCTGATGTTCAAAAATATGGAAAATATGCATTTGTATTTGTAACAAGCATAACTGAAGTACTCTTATTCAAATAAACGAACAGAATATGACTTTATAATATAATACCAGTAATAAATTAAACAACAACCATTTCCATCATGGAAAAATGTGAAGATAAAGAAGAATGATCGATCTCAAAAAAATATATACAAAACAAATAAAATCTGAACAGGGCGTAAACACGGATCCCTGGAACTCTAGAGATGGGATCAGGTGCCTAGGAGTAGTAAGCATCCCCTCTTGACCAGTCACACCCACCTTGAGCCCTATGCATTGATCAGGTAGACGGAATATTCCGTAGTCAAATTTAGCTTAAAAACAAAGGCTTAATTATTGGTATGAAAAACGTCAGCCACAATACGGCCTAAAGATACGTTATATTTGTTAACAAGGTCATTATAACGACCACAGAATTTACAAAATGCGACTTTAAACGAGGTTGTTGAAATCCCTTAACATCTGGAATTCAACTTATTTGTTAGTAGTCTGCCTTGGATTAAAAATTGATCGTTTTAGGAGCATACTCAAATAAGCTATAACACGTTAACACCATATGCAGGTGACAGCGGTATATTACTACATAAATAAGGAATGTTGACGATGGAAAAGTTGGTCATTTTGTTTGTCAAACAATTTAGATGTCTGTTGGCCCTTATCTTCTGTGTTCAGTAAAACATCCAAATATGAAACAGATATGGCAGACTCTGTGCTGTCTTTTATTTCAAGATCACTGGGATATATCGAGTCGACAGATGAATGGAAGTGACTGTTGTTATTTAATAAAAAAAAAAAAAAGGTCGTCGATATATCTGAACGTCGAGTTGAAGGCCACAGCAGGTACACGTATTTTCTTCTTCTCGTTATATGTTTTTGAATAAATTCTTCTTCATATGAATAGAAAACAAGTCGGCTATTTAAAGAGCACAGTTAGTGCCCATCGGATTTGCAACAGATTGTTGGAAGACCTGCTCCAGACCTGTTTACCCAAATTGTTGTCTCTCAGTATTTTTCATTAGATTTGTCAGTGAGATTTGACATTTGCCCGTAAGATTTCACTTTTCATTGACTGTACATATATTACTAGAAAACAACTACATTTTTTCTGATTACCAAAATATGGTTTAATAACAAAGCAAAACGTCATACACTGCTCTCTTTTGAGTGATTTCTGTCATTTTTTAAACAACTTTGTTTTGGCAATTAAATGTTTGAGAATTTTCTCTTCTTTAGCGATTTAAAAGCGTCAAACTGAAACAGATAATGAAAACTAATTGCTAAAATTCATATGAACGTATTTCCGTATTTTCGTTATAGCAAAACGTAAGACGTATTTTGGACTGAAAATCCGTACAAAATACGGCGAAATCGTAAGAGTAAACAGGTCTGCTGCTCTCGAAAGAATAAATAAATGTTGTACATATTAAACGCAGAAAAGCCGCAGGAAACAGAAAATATATAAAAATTTAGCCGAGCATGTGTGTATAAATGTTACAGGAGTGTTAAAGACTGTATTGTCTTCAGTTGAAATTTGGTCAAAGCTGTTAATAATGATATATAAAGCTAATGCGCTTCATAGTTGCGGAACCAGTGAAAGCAGAGAACCCGGTAAAAAGTGAAGACGTTGACGAATTATCTAGATACTCGAATAATTGTTAGCAAACTAACTAAAGTATAGAGTGGTATAGAATTTTTTTTTAAGAAGTGGGTAAGGCATCACATCTCTGTGTGAAATGAAGAAGTGGTGTATTTTTATAAAACTGTCATGACGTTACTTTTTTGACGTTACGTTGATAAGAGTGCTCCGTGGTGACAAACATGTTTAATTTCAAATAATGTAACATAAGTTCCATTTGATTAAATAAAATGAAAATACACACAATCATGAACAAAAGAAATATTTCACATATTACAATGTGATCTTAGATTTCTTAAAGATAACATGAAGAAGAACAACATTCTTTTGGATTATCATCGTACAGCTACATGTACTTCTCATATTATTTTTAAATTGAACTTGTTTGAATCTTAATCTTTTTAAGAAATAAAACATCTTAAGTGCGTTTGAAAATTGAGAAGACATGACAGTTTTATTTAATTAGTTACATAATTGGGATGTATTTCACCTTCGTTATTTTCCCTGAGCTTGTCCAGACTAATGCTACATTTCGATCATTTTCTGTGGTAGTTAGAATGAGCTAAGAAGCAGTGATATCTAACGAAATGGCTCCCAGTAGTAGAAGAAACAAGTTCAGGACCATATATAGGACAGTTCAATGCATTCTCGTTATAATGACATTGTTCGCAAATTCAACTTAACGTTGGGTTGTACTTTGTCTAGATCTGACATGTTTCATACCAACGATAAGGTCATTGTTTTAATACTAAATTTGACTACGGATTACTATGTCTAACTGATCAATACTTGGGCTCATGTGACCGGTCAGCAGGGGATGCTTAATCCACCTTGGCACCTGATCCCACCTTTGGTGTTTCTAGGGTCTGTGCTTTTGCCCTGTACATAATTTGCATTTTTTACTAGATTTATGAGATTGAACATTGTTCGTTTTCATCATCTTTAACGTTGCTTTTGTTCCATTTTTACTATTATTTTAAACATGCTTTTGACAAATGAACTGTGGAACAAAACAAAATGACAAGAAAACATGACTACATACAAAAAATTCTTTCACCGACAATGCTGATGAACAATGTGGTAAATATGAATTCATAACAAACATAACCAAAGTACTTTTAATCATATAAACGAACAAATGAAATCGTAATACCAATAATAACTAAAAATAATACCATCAACTTATACCTTGTTATGTGTAAAATTTTTTGTGCTTTTTTTTTCTTTTAATGTTTTGTAATAATAAAATATTCATATAAAGCAAACAAATAAGAATGGTATAAAAATGCCAAAACTCCTGTCTTCAAAAATAGATTTTTAAATTGTGTAGCAAAAATTAACTAAAAAAGTTCTTAAACTAATCAAATAAAATTTCCAACTGCAATCTTTTAGAAATGACAGCATACCCTTTACCGAACTTGAATGAGTTTTCACCTAGACATTTATTACTGATGCTAAAAACGTTCATTTTTTAAAATATTTTTTTTAAAGAAAATGATTTGAGAAGAATTTCTGATCCCGTTTCTTGTAAGTTTTTTTTTATTCTTCTAATTGCTTAGATTTTTGGTAATTTTTAGTCGATTTTATGCATATTTGATTCATCTTTATCCATACAATACGGATACCAAATATTTCAATAAAATTTTATTTCACAATGTAGTTTTTTTTTAAATGCATGAACAAATGTGGTTTGAAAAAATTGAAATGGTTTTTAAAACATTTTATTTATTGATCAATTAACTGTGGAAACTTAAGGGTCTCTTTTAGAAAAACAGTCCTAGGTATTTCCCCTTTATTTTGAAAGTGATATTTGTTAGGTAAATTGATAAATTTTGCAAATAAGCTCCGAAACGGGTGCACCAGAGTTCTTACTTACTCCTCTAAGAATACACACGATACAAGATGATGTCCGTAAAGTATATTTAGATTTCACTTGGATTGTAAGAATCGTACATTAAATTAAAAGTCTACTTTTATTTTCTGTAAACAGCCATGAAATAGCAAAAACGCGAGTACGGTGGCGTTTCCGGTTGGCGGATCTTAGTTACTGCCAATTTTTAATGAAACTGGCTACAAGCAATCGTTTATTTATTTCATTAAACGTCATTACTGAATTATTCAATCAAAACTTGATTTAAATGATATAAAAGAAATAAGTTGTGATAACCGATTAAAAAGGAAAATGTGCAAATTATTTTCGTCATTCACTGATCGTAATATTGACGGAAGCTTCTAGAACATCATATAGCATCGAGCCCGATCTTTAAAAGAGAATACATGTACGTAGCTGCTTTAACATAAAAAAAAGCTTTTCTGTGAATGGTTATTGAAATAATGGTAAATCATTGATAACACTGTAAGTTGTGGATATATTTATATATCGAAAGACTATTACATATATTTAGTAGGTTTTCCTAATAAATTTATCGGTAAAAATTCCTCACTGAGAGCATCGTGGCAACGAACC